GTGTGTGGTGTATGTATGTGCGTGGTGTGTGTGTACGTATATGTGTGTACGTGTGTGTGTATATGTGGTTTATGTGTGCACGTGTGTGTGTATGTGTGTGCGTGCGCGCGCGCTAGCAGGAAGGAAAACAAACCAAGAAGCAGGGAGAAGATGAGAAAAGAAATTGTGTTCAGGACAATAAGTAGTACCCCGTTGAACAGCAGAAAACAGGAAAAGTAAAGAAAAGACAAGGGTTCTTCTGCGCAGGCACCACGAAATATGATCATAACCCAGGCACACAGTATATGTGAATAAGAGTGTCACACAACAACATATATGCTGCCTAAATAGCCATGGCTAAACAGACCATGTGCATGGACCATAAGTTCTATCTTGAATCAAGCAAATGAATATAACCACCATATTCAACATATGTTTATTTTCCTGAATACAAAACTAAGTGCTTTACAGATAAGATTACATTAACGACCATCAACGTCTTTGAACAGACTTAAAATGCTGCTCACTCTTGCTAACAAGGAAATAGGATTATGAACGAATACGTTCCGAAAAATTACCTCAGTGGTGGCAAAAATTGAAACATGTTAAAATGGGAGTTTAAGCTTAAACATACCACGAGATCAGTAAATCGCCTCCAGCGACCTGCAGTCAAGTTATCTCAGAGCGAGGATACACACTGCTATCTAGTCCTAACACACATTCTGACTACTGATGGAAATCTAGATCTAGCACCGAAACTAACCATTGAGAAGTACCGAAACCGTGGAGTAACCACTCCATCCCTCTCAACTCAACAGCCTGAAAACCACAATGCGTTAACATTCATGAACAACAGCGAGGTGGGAGGGCGGAAAGCTAAAAAGACCATCTCTGGCTGGACAAGCCTTTTTATCACGGTCTGATGCCCGAGCTTGACAGATTTTAGTTCGCGTACATCCAAATTAAAAATAGCCTTGGCAACCAGACTGCATGTATATGTGTGTGTGTGTGTGTTTTATAAATATATACATATATATATGTAAATAAATGTTTATTATTCTGTACGAATACTAACTAGACATGGCAAGAATTTAAACTCCGGCCATATCCAAGTCGATAATATGAAAATCAAACGAACGGAAACATATAAGTACTTGGGTGCAAACTTCAACTGCTCCAACATGCTGAGAAAAGAAATACAATCTAGAATACAATCTAAAAATAAAGTATACTATGAACTTCAACATCTGCTAAAGTCAAAGTGTCTGTCTCGCAACACCAAGATCAAAATATATAAAACATTGATAAGAGCAGTTGTGTTTTATGGCTTTGAAATTTGAAGCAAAAATAAAAGAGATGACGCCTTATAACATGTTATCGAAAACAGTCTTATGACAAATCTTTGGACCTATTAAAGATGCTAACAGCGGGGAATGGAGAGTGAGAAGCAACAAAGTAACATATAATCTGTTTAAATCACCATTGATCACTGGCATCATGAGAGCTAACAGACTAAAATGGTTGGGGCATATTGAAAGTATGTCAGATGACAGAAGTAAAAACTTTATACACCTGAGAGAGGACGGGCGTAGACCACCAGGCAGACAAAAAAGAAATTCGAGAGATAATGTCCAGCCAGACCTGCAAACAACTGGTGTCACAAAGTTGTAAAGAGAAGGCCAGCCAGAGAGATGAATGGAGACGAGTGATATTTGCAGCAGTAAACCTCAAATGCTCAGAATGCTAAAGAAGAAGTTGACTATTCTGTGCTACTTTATGTGAAGTAAAAGTTCAGCGTACATTTGACATTATGATTTTTTTTAAAGATATATTTTATACACTTTACACTATTCGTATTCGTATTCGGCCGAATAGTTGGTCCCGCTATTCGTATTCGGCCGAATAGTGAAAATCACTATACGGTACAGCCCTAATAAATATATGTATATATATGTATATATTTATAAAACACACACACACACACACACACATATATATATATATATATATATATATATATATATATATATATATATGTGTGTGTGTGTGTGTGTGTGTGTGTGTGTTTTATAAATATATACATATATATATATATATATACATATATAAATCACTATTCGGTACAGCCCTAATATATATACACTAACAAGAACCATCAGCTTTTAGAAAAGTATTCCACAATTATAGCTTAAGATTTCAGAACCGTTGTTGGCAACATTTGTGTTAAGTCTGTTTTTTTCTCAGACACTCAGCTCTCATTCTTTCTGCAACCATTTATTCCTTAACTCTCTTCCCCCACCTGATGTGCCACCTCCACACACCACGGTCCATGGCATTTTGTTCCCGCGCGCATGTGTGTGTGTGTGTGTGTGTGTGAGGGAGAGAGGGAGAGAGAGAGGGAGAGAGAGGGAGAAAGAAAGAAAGAAAGAGAGAGAGAGAGAGACAAGAAAGGAAATTTCAGTTGTGAAGAAAAACAAAAATGAAGAAAATTGTTGAAGCCCCAGTAGATAGTGAGGCTATAGCTTATTTTATTGTGCCTAAATCAGGCACTGATCATTATCTGCCTCTTCCTAACCTATATTATCTTAAAGCAACTTTATTATTTATCATTATTTTTTTGTAATGTTTACATGATTAGGTTCCGGTCTACATTCAATCTCAAATGATGCCAGGACAAGATCCACATCTCCAGCCAGGTGTTTATGCTATATCACAAAGTGGCAACCAGGCAAGTTATATAACATATTTATTAAGCAAAGGCGCGCGCGCGCACACACACATGTACAAGCGTGGCATACAGAGAACAGATCACATCCATCTGGGAATAATCTATAGTTATTGTTTTTTCCCCTGTGTGGGTTCCCGGGTCCCATTGTGGAGGAGAGAAGAGAGTGGGCAAGAAAAGACCTACACCTTTATCAAGCATATCGTAACGGTCAACTATTTAGAGAGGTTTTTTTTTCTGACGAAGTTGGAGTGCATCTGCCTGAGATGCAACGAACCAAAAGTCTGCACACAAGTAAACCCAAGTTCTGGAACAAGACAAAGCTTCAGAGGTGGACAAACAACCAGAGTTTACAACCGATGAACGCCAAGAATGAATATGAACTGGAATATGCATGGACAACAGCAGAAGTGAGAAGGAGTTGAGGCGAGTTGTCAGGAAAGGGAACGAAGGAACGAATTTTATTTTGAATGGGTCACAAACTGGACAGGCAGGCCCGTGTTACACTCGGCCCTTCCAAATATTCATCTGTCATACCGCAATTGTATTTTAGCCTCGTCAAGTAAGCACTTATATTTAAAGGCAATGCGTTGTGAGTCCTGGACAATCGGTAGGCAGGCCAAACAATTTCTCAAGGCCTCAGAGATGTGGTTTTACAGAACAATGCTTAAAATACCTTGGACAGCAAAAAAAAAAAAAAAAGCAACCAAGAGGTTTTGAAAGAGGCGGGAGCCCGAAGATAACTTATCACAGACATCAGAAGGAGACAGTCATCATTTTTCGGCCATGTTATGGGAAGAGGGAAATAGAACATGTTGTGACCACTGGAAAGATCTGTGGAAGGAGGGACAGAGGGAGTCTACGTAAGAAGATTCTTGACAGTCTTGTTGCATGGCATGGAGGTGTGTCAGCACATGAACTGATACATGCTGCAGCAGATCGCAGATTGTGGCGAGGCATAATTGCCCACGTCAGTCGGCAAGGCACCTTATGATGATGATGATACACTATTCGTATTTGTATTCGACTGAATAGTTGGTCCAGTTATTCATATTCGGCCGAATAGTGAAAATCACCATTCGGTACAGCCCTAAAGCATACACGCTCACTCATACACACTAACCCAAGCATACCCACTCATGCACGCATACACCCTCATGCACATACATACACTCAGACTTATAAATATTCATACATACACATACGGGCGAGGAGGGCTAAAGGGACGGAGGGGGAAGGGGGAGGGTGGGGGGGGGGGGGAAGGGTGGAGTTTGAAATCGTGTCACGGAAAAATCAAATTAGAAATGAACATTTCATCAGAAAGAAGGCTGTGTGCAGCTATGATATGTTAAATGTTAAATGATGAATTAAGAATTGACATCACAGCACTCGGGACACTCCCATAAGTGCTCCGTCCCCATCTTCAGCTGCAAGCGAAGAAATCTATGATAAAAAAGCTCATAAGGCATTAACATTAAAGGAAAGAGATGGATACTGTATTCTTTAATAGATGAAACTTCTTGTCGGGTGCTACTGTGGTGTAGAGGCTAGATTGGGTTCGGGTCCTGACGATGACAGACTTTTTTTAAACTAATGACTATGGCTGCCAGGTCGACCCAGCCTCAAAGGGGTACCAGGTAAAGTCTTGATAAGTAAAGGCGGTCGGTGTGATTTGCTGTTTGGTCAATATAATTTAGGTCTAGTACTATATACTCATACATACATATGGATGTGAGTCGTGGACTATCTCTCAGTCTTTAAGAAAAAGAATTGGGGCTTTTGAGCTGAAATGCTATAGAAAGATTCTCAGAATATCTTGGACAAGGAAGATGAGAAATATTGACATCTTAAAAGATCTGAACATCAAGGAAGATTGGCTAATAAAACAGCATCGTTTCTCGAAAGCTGAAATATTTTGGTCATATCAAGCGCCACGACGGATTGGAAAAAATTATAGCAGAAGGCATGGTACCAGGAAGGAGGGGCAGGGGCCGACCGACACGAAGATGGGCACAGGATATAAGTGACTCCTTGAGTGTGAAAGTGCATGAGGCGGTAGAACTGGCGAGAGACCCAGTTTCTTTTAGGCAGACTGTCATGAGAGCGACGTTCTGCAAAGGACCTGCTACATGATGATGATGACTATATACTCAATACGCAAAAAGGCGCGGAAAACGGTTTCTCAATTACTTATCTGCACTGAAGGTAACAGCAGACTGGTGTAACTGTACTTGGTGACCTAATTATAGCTTCTTTGATGGTTAAACAGAGTATCTGGGATTTTCCATGTTGGTCT